GCACGTGCTAACTTCGCTTATCGGGCAAGCGATCGACAAGTTCGATTTTAAAAGATAACAGCTCGAACTCTGAGAGAATTCTATATTTAGAACTTTTGAGAGGTAAATAAAGCGTTTGCCATAGACCTATTTGCGTTTGGTAATTATCTGTTTTAAACTTAGGCCCTGTTTACAAGCAGGTAGGGTAACCCTAGTGCTAGGGTTACCCTGGCAGGAGGGTTACCCTAACGCTCCCACATTTCTTCTTTTTTTCATGGACGTGTTTACAAGGCAGCTAGGGTTACCCTAGCACTAGGGTAACCTTAGCTGAGTGCTAGGGTTACCCTAGCGCCAGGGTAACCCTAGCTGTATCGTAAACGCTCTGCTGGGGATAACTCGCCAACCCGGGACAACTTTTTACTTATTTCCAGACCCTTGAACATTGATAACAATGCGTGCGGTTACCAAGCATAGGTAAGTTGTCCCGGGTGGCAGTGTAACCCTACCTGTGAAACTTTGCTGGTAAACCCTGGCTATCTTTGACCCGCCTGCTGGGGTAACCCTAGCACAAGGATTACCCTCCTTGCTTGTAAACAGGGCCTTAGTTGATATAACCAATTACTTTCTTACACCCACCGACGGAGCACCACAGTTTCTTTGGAAACTTTCAGCCTTTATTCATTACCTACGATAGACTTGCATTTTATCTGGGAGTCCAAGCGATGCTTCTAGTAACTTCCTGGTGCCGTCGAAACCAGGATAGATATTGGCAGTGTGGCTACCACTCGACTTGCATGCAGATGTCACTGATAAAACCGTGTTTTCGTTTCAGGTTCCAGACGGAATGACCATTGATGAAGATGGAATGTTATGGGTTGCTATGTACAACGGATGGAGGGCGAGTGTTCATATGAAAATATAAATGTTCTTTATTAGTAAGACGACTGAAGGTGACGTAGCGTCCCAAATGAGGCCTAAAACACTAAACATATAGCTGGGAGAGTAACTACTCTACTCCCAAGATCCGATGATTTTAACTCCCCCCTCAGCTACCAGAGGAGAAGTATCAGATGGGCCACTTTTTCGATCAATCTTTTTTTTTGTTTTTTTTTGTTTTAAGGCATGATCAAAAATTGCTTTATGTTCTCCTGACATTGGTTCCAACAACGTTATATCATTTTTTTCAGGTTGTAAAGTTTAATCCTTGTAGTGGAGAATACTTGACCCATGTAGATCTTCCAGTAGCTAATGTTACTTCTTGCTGTTGGGCCGGCACCAACTTTGATGAACTGATAGTAACTAGTGAAAGGTAAGTTCATCGTTGAATGCTTTACAGCGTTGTTTAGAATTTGCGCTGAGGTTTGGAGTTATAAAATAGAAAGAGAAAGGGAGGCAGGAACCACTGTGAAAATCTCTCTTGAGATTACGCAGCATTATTTGAAATTTCCTTTTAGCTAAG